CTCTGTTTCTAAAGAAAATAAAAACATGTGCCTGCCTGCTCCCCACCTGTCTGTCTCTCTATCTGCAGGGTGATTGATGGCCGGAATCTGATGCCCCTGCTGGAAGGGAGGGTGTCCCACTCAGACCACGAGTTCCTCTTTCATTACTGTGGCATCCACCTGCACACAGTCCGGTGGCACCAGAAAGACTGTAAGTTTGAAGACTGTGACCCAGAATAAGGACACAGCCATGGGCTCCTGCCTCTTTTGGAAACCCTAGTTAGGACGGTTCTTTCCCCCAGGTGTGTTACTTAAGCAGATAGAATAACACAGTAGAATTTTATTTTATTTATTATTTTTGAGGCAGAATTTCACTCTGTCACCATGGATAGAGTGCCATGGCGTCATCATAGCTCACAGCAACCTCAGACTTCTGGGCTAAAGAGATCCTCCTTCCTCAGCCTCCTGAATAGCTGGGACTATAGGTGCTTGCCATGATACCCAGCTAGGTTTCTGTTTTTCATAAAGACAAGGTCTCGCTCTTGCTCAGACTGGTCTCAAACTCCTGAGCTCAAGGGATTCTCCCCCGTCAGCCTCCCTGAGTGCTGAGATTGTAACTGTGAGCCATTGAGCTCAGCCTACAAGGAGTACAGTTTGAAAAATTGCATTTTCAGTATAAAAATTACACAAGCAAAGTACCAGGTACATTCTTGTAAACATTTTTAAAATTTACAATTTAAATTTCTAATTTACCATTTTTAAAAATTACAAAGGCACAATTTTATTAAAAAGAAGACTTAGGCTAATGAACCTCAAACCTTGAACCGCAAACCTTGAACCTTGAACCTTGAACCTCGTAGGCTCAAGTGATTTTCTTGCCTCAGCCTCCCCAGTAGCTGGGACTACAGGTGCCCACCAGTACACGCAACTAGTGTTACAGCTGAGGGTCTCACTCTGGCTCAGACTGGTTTCCAGCTCCTGACCTCAAGGGATCCTGCTGCCTTGGCAGTGTAGAGTGCTGGGATTACAGGCGTGAGCCACCGCCCAGCCCTGTACCCACAGGATTTTAATTTATGGAAGCAACTGTGTCAAGGAAATGTCACAGAAATATATTTATGACTCAGATTTCCCAAGAGAAGAGGGTACACCTTGTATGCATGCTTCTAGGTTTTTACCAGTAAGCAGAGAACCCAGGCTACATACAGCCTTCAGTGGGGTTTCCAAGGGAAAGGCAAGGCAGGTGGAGTGAACATCTCAGGATTGGGTATTTTGAATAATTGCTACAGGTTTGGTGATGTAGGGACTGTCCCTGTCTGGCACCTGCTCCTGGGCTGACTTAGGTCAGAGGAAATAGTGCTTGATGCATGAGAATTAATAAAGGACATGGTTGGATTAGGTGTGACATACTCTAAAGTGGGTTGCTCACTGCCTTTAGGAATTAGCCCCAAG